TGCTCACAGTTACTGCACCCCCGACCTGCTGGGCTCAGGAGATCCTTCTGCCTCAGCTGGAACTACAGGTATGTGCTACCATGCCCAGCTAATTTTTCTTGATTTATTGTAGAGACGAGGTTTTGCCAAGTTGCCCAGGCTGGTCTTGAACCCCTGGGCTCAGGCAATCTTCTTGCCTCGGCCTCTCAAAGTGCTGGGATTACAGGCGTGAACCACTATACCTGGGCTGCTTCTTGCTTCTAACACAGAGAAAAAAGGGCCAGGAGATCAAAGGACAAATCAACAGCTCCATACATTTTACTGTCCTCCTTCTCTTCCTATAATATATTATACTAGGGACCACCTCTCTCCCTTTACCACTCTACTCTGACCCTGAACCAGTTTAGCAATTGACATTTTAATCAACCCTCCAAGTGATTCTGAGGCTTGCTAAAGTTTGAGAACCACTGCCTAACTCCATTCTCCCACTATAGAGGATCATTTTTCATTCCAGCAAAAAGTTTACTGTTGCTTCCAATACTTTAAATTCAATTACTTATTTATCGAGTACCTTGGAATAAAGGTGTAAAGGAGATATACATAGCCTGTGTCCTCAATGCACTTATACATTGCTGCTTCTGCCTAGACACTCTGACCTCCTCTTCACCTGGCTGACTCCCTCTTACTTTTCAAAGAACAAAGTCATTGTCACTTTATGCTGGAAGTCCTGCATGGTTCCTATGGCTTCAGGGAGCAGACCCTCACCTCCCCCAAAGCAATTGCTTTCACCTCTCAGTACTCTTCGTATATTGACCATTTGAAGATGACGGGGCAGTGGGCTATAGCTGCAGAACAAAAGATGTCCCAGGCACTAATGACCCCTTGTGACAATACTCTCCCTGTGACTTGATCAGTGGCCCGACGTGTGGGTTCTCAGATGCTTTTGGAATCACAGATGTAGCCTGTAACCAAGTTCCTAGACCACTCCAGGCCAGGTGGGAAAAATGCTAAAATTGGAGGGGCGGTGGAATATGATGGGGACTGCTTCTGTCGTAGTCCTCAGATGACTGATGCCTCTGTTGGAGAGCAGTTGAAGTGTGTAGCTGGCTGCCTGGTGTGAAGCCCCAACTCCACTCCTGTCTAGCTGGGTATTTGTCCTGAAATTGGCGATCACTCCACTAGATGGCGCTCACACTATTTTTCTCATTTTAAATTCTTTTTCTTTTTTTGAGTTGGAGTCTCAATCTGTCGCCCAGGCTGTAATGCAGTGGCACACTCATGGCCACCCCAGCATTGCCCTGCTGGGGTCCAGTGATCCTTCTGCTTCAGCCTTCCAAGTAACTGGAACTACAGGCGTGTGCTACTACGCCTGGTTAATTTTTGCTTTGTTGTAGAGACGAGGTCTCACCAAGTTGCCTGGGCTGGTCTCGAACCTGCAGACTCAGGCAATCCACTCGCCTCAACTTTCCAAAGTGTTGGGATTACAGACTGAGCCATTGAGCCCGGCTTTAAATTCTTTTAAAAGATTGTTATTTTTTAATACCATCAAAGAGCACAGATAGGACTATGTCTTAAAAAAACAAAACAAAACAAAACAAAACAGGATTTACTGAGAGGCCAGAAAAGCTCCCACAGAGGGAAGGGACCTGAGGGGGTTGCCCAGGACTATGTCTTAAAACATACGATCATTCTTGAAGTTCTATCACATTTCCAAGAGTCATCAGGTTTTTCCTTCTCTTGGGTAGTGCTGGGTGGGGAGTGAAGGAGCTTCTGTGGTGTGGGGCTGCTGAGCTCCCCAGGCTAGAATGCCACATCCCATGAAGGGGGGCCGGTCCTTCCTCCTTCCCCATATCCTGCCCTGATTTTCTAGCTCAAGACCTGGACCCCAGGCTTGGCTGTTAGGTCCCTTTCTTCTCTTTTTAGTTCACTGCTTCCCATATCCCCACCCAAGCACCCTTGGAATTGTGGGAGAAGTCCCTTGGGTCCCCCTAGTTGTACCAACTACCCTTACCCATTCAGCCTGTGGTTCATCTTGGCCTTTGCACATTCCTCTGAGATACTGAGCTCAGTGCAGGGTGGTACTGGCATGGCCCCCTTGGTGACACTTTCTGTTTCAACCCCCAGGTGATCATCCTCAGTCTAGCCATTTAGTCTTTAATCTTGCCCTGAGCTAAGGAAGAAAACGTTCCTGAACTCCATAAGGGTAGAGACTGTGCCCTGCTCACCTCAGGGCCACTCAAGGCTGGCTCAAGGCCAGGGATGCACTAGAGGTTTGCTGAATTGGAAGTGAGTGGGTTCCTTGACTTTCCAGCAATTGCATGTTGATATAGTTTATCGTGATGTTAGTTCAGCATCATCATCACCATCATCACATCGTCATCATCATCATTCATTTTTAGCCCCAATAAGGCCTGTAGCTGGAACCTCAGTCAGAAACTACCATAACAGAAAGCCCACCATTCTGGGGGTCAGGCTAGCTTGGAAGGGTCCATCCAGTCTCTCTTACCTGCCAGCTGTTTGACCTCAGGAGATTCACCTAACCTCTCTAGGCCTGCCATGCCCTCCTAGACTGTGAAGGGAGGGAGCTTCATCAGCTGCAGCCAGAAGCAGGCATTAGCCTTGAGTGCAGCCTCCCGGGTCCCTTCTGAGGAAGGGAGGAGAGGAGAATCACTCTAGGGCCCTGGCCAGCTCCGGTGTTGTGCTGTGCTCTGCAGATCAATGTGTACACTCCCCAAAGGCTGACTAAATCCTCTACTGCTCACCAGCTGTCCAACTTTCCCTGAGCAGCCTCTGTAGCTGCCTGCCTCTGCCCCAAGGCTTCCAGGAGTGGCTGTGTGTGCAAAGGTAGGAGGGCAGAACTCGGGACCTGCATGAACTTGGAACTCAGCCAGGCTACTGTTGCTGTGCTTGGGAGAAAGGGGTTCAGGAGTTTTCTTTACTGTAACCAAGTCCCTAGACCTCCCCAGTCCAAGTGGGAAAATGTTAGAATCTGTAGGAGACCTCAGAAGGCCAGGTGCCCATGTTGGAGGGCAGTTGGAACGTGCGGCCCTGGAAACCAGGCTGACTGGGCTCAAGCCCCAACTCCCCTCTTGTCTAGTTGTGTGTCACTGGGCAAGTTGCTTATTCTTTCTAAGCCTTAGTGTCCATTTTTTAAAAAATAGGTATAAAAATAGCCCCTACCTACAAGAGGTGCTTTGAGTATTGTGGGAGGCAGAATAATGATCCACAAAAATGTCCACATTCAACTTCCCAGAATCTTGTGAATATGTTACCTTACAAGGCAGAGGGTCTTTTCCTTCCTCTCCTCCCCAAGAGTCAAAGGAATCCCTGTAGATAGCTCTGAGCCAGATAATGAATATGCATGCAGGTGATGTCCCCTGTTTGGTCCTCCTTGAGCCACATGCTCAGTGCCTTTCTGAATTGATGGCTGGAAGTATGTCGACCTCCACCTTCTAGTTCTGGCCCTGCCTCAACACTCTTTCCCCCAGCCCCAGTTCCCTGCTCCCCAGGTGGCAAGACTTGCCTACCTCACTGCCTGCATTTCCTCTCTATCTTCACTGCAGAGAACTTTACTCCTGTTCCACAGTTAACCAAACCTCTATTTTCGACTCCATATCCCAGAATCCTTGTTTCTGCCACCTAAAGTGCCGTCTTATTACCAAGGTTCTTGTAGCAGATGAAAAAGAATATCCAAGTGAAGCCGCAGGTACTTAGATTTTGCACACGGGGCATGCAGTTGGGGAGGCTGTTCCTGTACTTCACTGTCCATTTGTGCCCCCAGGAGCTCTAGTATGGACAGAGCAAAGGCAGGCATGTTCCTGCTCCAGGCTTGAATCTGCTCACTCCTGCTCCCATCAGGCCTCTGCTTGTGGACTGAGCTGGGGCTGATCATACTCAGTGGACAGCCAACAGACAGGCCATTTCTCACAGTGGCTAGGCTGGTTGTACTGCTCTGTGGCCAGCTGTAATCGTACTGGCTTACAGACCCTCAGTGAGGCCCTAGCACACTTGGTTCCCAGCCACTATCTCAGCCGATGCTTTTGGTGCCCTGTCCACACTGCCTTGCTAACTCACCGTTCCCATCACACCAGTGGCCTCCTTCCTTAAGCATCTGCAAATGTCCCTGAAGGCCTTCTATGTCTGCAGAAAGCTTGCTCCAATTGCAGGATAGGCCAAAAATGTCAGAGTTAACCTCCCAGAGAGCACCTCTTCCTGACTAGTGGGTGGGAGCTGGTGGGTATACCCTTGGGCCTCCTTAGTTCTTGGTGAGATACCTCTGAGACCTGTTCCACACCATTTCCAGAAGCCCCCATGGTATCTGAACCCAGGTGCCCACGGCAGCAATCTGCTCCCTAGCACACCTGGCTGGTGTTCCTCCCTTCCCAATGCTCAGATCCTGGTCTCAGGCTCTGCTTCAGGGAGAGTTGAGCTACACACAACACTGCCTGACTGCAGAGCCAGGTCCTGCAGGACACAGACTGGCTCATCAGCAAGGTACTGTTGTTTAGTTAATTAACAACCATGTTGTAAAGTTGGAAATGTTAAGCAACTGTTTTATAACTGCTGACAAGATAACAGTTCTTTAGGCAAAATTACTTCCCTTTTGCCCACCTCATCCCAATTCTCTGCCTGGGGATACGTAACAAGCCTTCTTTGAGCATTCTGACTCTGTGCTAGCATTTTCTCTGGCCTTTCCAAGTGCTGTGTTTGGACCTTCACCCTAAGATGTCTCCATTGACTGGTTTCTTCCCTTATATTTGCCATGAATTTAAAATTCCACATTTTCCTCTTACCCCAAAGTGAATTATCCAGATAACTGATGGGATTTTCTAATTTTTTCCCCCATGTTCGGTCCACAGTAGGTCTGGCCCACAATTCCAAGTTGTGCTTTGAGACAGCCCTGCCACTCCTGCAGGGGAAGCATCATGAAGCTCTGCCCTTCTCATGCTAAGGGCCTGGCGACATCCCCACCAGGGCCACCAGTCCCACCCAGCACAGAGCTGAGAGGCGCTCAGGCCTACCTGGGCTGATCTCAAAGAGGTGCTTCCCCGGGTCCTCGGGGCCTGGAAGGAGTTCGGTCACCCGGGTCCCTTGTAGAGAAATAAATCCCTAAAATGGAGACAAACACAAACACAGGGTGCATGAGACGGCTGGGAAAGGGCAGCTGTCATCAGGGTTCCTGGAGAGCAAAGGGGAGGGGCCGCAGTGTCAGGAATCCTCCAGGCCAGCTGGGCAGGTTGGGCCCAGTAGAGGAGCACATGCCTCCTCTCTAGGCTCCTTCCAGGGTTCCTGGAAGAGTGGGTGGGCACTGTTGTCTGCACACATGGTCAGAGCTCTGCCCACAGGCAGGGGCAAATCTGGAGTAGGGAGGAAGGCTCCCACGTTGGGGGCCCCTGTTCCAGTGTACCCATCTTCAGTCTTTCTGGACCAGCAGGGTTTTAGGCTGGAGAGGACCAGGGAGAGGAAGGCTGGAACAATGGGGCTAGGCCCCCGAGGCAACATGAGAAGAAGGATGAACACATGTTTGCTGTGTGAGTCCAGTTCTGCCACTTCCTGGCTGAGTGAGATTTCTTTTCTTTACCTATAAGATAGGAGCCAGCTTGAGTGTGAGGTACCCAGCATAGACAATGCCATGTACCTGGGGTATGTGTGTATACCCTACAGAGAGTAGGCTCCACCTCCTCTCTAATGCTGAGCTCTGGTTAAAAAAAAAAAAAAAAAAAAAAAGATGCAGGGAAAGAGCACAGGGTATAGGGATCAGTAGGCTGGCTTGGAGTCCCTGCCTTTCACTTCCTGGCTTGGAGTCCCTGCCTTGCACTTCCTAGCTGTGTGACCTCAGGTAAGTTACTTAATTCCTTGGAACCTGTTGCCATGTCTGTGCAATGGGACAGTAACTTTCTCTTCTCAGGAGAGTTGAGATGCCAGGTTGCCGTTCAGTAAGTCCTACTCAAGGCAACTAGGTGTTGTCATAGCCACCTCAACTGACCCTTCTCCAATCCCCAAGCTAAGCAGGGCCTCTTTTATACTCCTTCTGTATGTTCATGACTTTGATCTCTGCTGGGACCTTTGTTCGTTTTGTTCATGTTCAATTTTGCTCAACTCAGACTGCCCATGGCTTGACTATATTTTTAGTTCTCTCCATGGGAAACTCATTTTAAATGGCATCCCCGCAGCCAACTACTTGGGTTCAAATCTGGGCTCAATTACAGGCACACCGTTTAACTTCTCTGTGCCCCAGTTTCCCTATTTGTGAAACAGAAATAACAGTACTTTATGGGACTGTTTTGAGCATTAAGTGAATTAGGATTTAGGATGTTCTTAAGGCACTGTCTGGCACATAGTGAGCCCTGCATGTTTGCTACATAGATCTTTGACACTGTTGTGTGTCAGGGCTCCACACCAGGTACAGGCTGCCTGTGCTTGCACTTGCCCAGGTGAGAGGCAAGGTCTGCTGCTTCATCCAGGTGGCCACCAGTCCCCACACCCATGCATGTTCACAAGTGCTCCTCTTCCTACCCCCATCTTTTCTGGGCAAATCCTGGCTTTAACAGGGTGATGGAAGCCTCCTAAGTGCTACTGGAGTCTTGTGCTGCAAGGACACATGGAAATATCTTTTCTCATTTAAGCAGCATAAAGGCAGAATGACATCTTTACCCACAGATGCTTGCTTTAGAGAAATTACAGCAATAAACCAGAGAACCAGCTGGTAAACGTTGTAACTGAATTAACAGTTACTTTCTTGATAGGGAACCTGGAGCTACTGGAAATAAATTAGGACTGCAGCCCCAGGATGGGAAAAAGCGCTCATTAGAGGGCGTGGGTGAGATCCATCACTGGCTAATGGGATGCGTCTTGGGCGTTTGCTGTTTCAGTAACCGAGTCTCTGTCTCATTCGGGGTACTTGCCTTTTTTCTTTTCTTTCTGTGTCCCAATATCTGTCATCTACACAATAGGAGTAACAATACTGACATCACTTTCTGCTCCAGCTAAATGGAAAAGCAGTAATAGCTTCTGTTTATGAAGCTTGTACTATATTCCTGGCTCTTTGAATAAATTTTTGGATTTAATGTAGAGGCCCCAGGGTGTAGGTGTTATTATTCCTATCTTCCTAGACAAGCAAATGAAGGTGAGAGAGGTAAAGCTCATTGCTAACAAGGGCATGTGGCGATGTCGACCCAGATGTGCCTGAAGCTGGAGTCCCATTCTTCCCAATTTTCTTGCTTACCTTTATGACAGCAACCACCAGCTGACTTCATTTGCCAGAAGCCACCATGGAGAGCTAGGCTGTGACTTTGGGATCCATGTCTCATATGTCACACAGATGGCCCCCAGCACTACAGGGAGCCCTAGCAGTGGTCCCTGGCTGCTCAGATTCCTTCTCTTCTCAGAGGTTAAGAATGTGGCTTTGATCCCAGAGGCTTTGGTACAGAGTTTGGAGGCAGGGGATAGGGTAGCAGATGGAGTCTGCTCTCCCATTCCTGTTAAGACTGTGATAAAAAAACACGTGTGTGGAGTCAGACCTTGCTGAAACAGTAAGGTTAGGTCTCAATCATGAGCATCCCTTGGGATCACCTAGGTCTCTTTAAAGCACAGAGAGCTGGGCCTGGTGTTATGGTGGTGTTTAACAAATGGGTCTCTGAAAAAAATGAAGAACCCTGATTTGTAGTGTTTGCCAACCCCTCTCCCACCATGACTGATTTCATGATGTCATCAAATGTGAAGCTCGAAGAGATGTACCACAATGTTTGCACCACATAGAACTCATAGAGGTCAATAACCTCAAGAGCATAAGGCATAATAAACGAAGACAAACAATTAGGAGGTGACACATTTTTAGTACTTTTCACTTTTGTGTTTACCATAATTTAATTGTAGGTTTTGTGATTTAATTTCTAATAATGAAAGTGTTCAACCACAATAGTGCGAGACCCCACACTGGAGTCTCTGATTTTATTGGTCTGAGGAAAGTAGGAAAATTTGCATTTCTGCCTAGTTTTTGATAATATTGTGAGGATTAAATAATTGATATTTGCCCCAGTAGCCTTGGAGAGCAAGGTCTTGGCTGGAATTCTGTGCCTTGGACAACATGAAGGTCTAAGAACAAGTGCCTCCTTCTAACCCCTCAGAGAGTACCTCAGAGAGCACCCTTAACCATAGGGGTCCTGGCATTTCCCTGAGTAGCCCAAAGCAAGAGTCAGCACTTTGGAGGGAACCTCTTATCATTGTGCCAGGTTGAATGTTTGCACCTGAGAAGGCAAGCAATTTGCACCAAGAACTGCACTCTCTGTATACAGAATGTGTGCAACCCCCAGGCACATGCTAGCTTCCCACAAAGGGTGGGCCCTTTCTCTTTCTCTAGGTGTCTGAGCTTTTGTGTGTTTGCTCTGTTTTGGGAATGTCCCTGCCTACATACCTAAGTTTGTCCTGAGAGGCTGCAGCTGACTTAATTTCTATCTCCACACAGAGTGCAGTCCATTGGTATGATTAATGGATAAAGGACATGCCATCCTGCCTGTGTCCAGTAGGGATCACTCCCAGGCCTGCTGCTGTCTCACCATAGTTCCTTTCCCAACCTGTGTGAATGTGCTGGCCTGTGGGGTCTGTGGACAGCAGGTTGAGCCCTGACTACAAGCTCCATAAACTCCTCCAATAAGAGAGCTAGTCTCTGGGAAATGGGGAGGACATACCCAGTGGAGAAGCCATTGGGAGAGAGTAAATTTTATAAGTTAGTTGCCAATTAGACGTTTATTCAAAATTCATCATTTATACAGCATATATAGTAGCCTAGGGATTAGTGGCGTTTAGTGTTTGCTCCATCTCGTTTGCCTAAACCCAGCAATGGGGAACCAAGAAAGTGACGAAGTCCTCAGGGACTGGTAAAGATGCTCGGAATTCAGAAAGTCTGCTGTCTCAGATTCTGAACGAATTGGTTATCTTTTGCTATATAACACATAACTTCAAAATTCAGTAACTTAAAACAACAACAAACATGTATTCCCTTACAGAGTTTTGGTAGGTCAGGAATTTGGAAGTGGCTTAGAGCTGAGTGGTTCTAGCTTGGTTTTTTTTTTCCATGAGGTGTGAGTCAAGATACCGGAAGGGGCTAAAGACACCTGGAAGTTTAAATGATACTAGAGGATATACTTCCAAGATGGCTTGCTCAATGAAAGATACAAAAAGGCTCAAACTTATAAATTTGTGAATGAAAAATACAGTGGATGGGACTAACAACAGATTTGATATCACAGATGAAAAAAATTAGTGAACTTGAAAATACAACAATAAAAACTATAGAAAATGAAATGCTGGGAGAAAAGACAATTTTTAAAAGAGCAGAGTAAGTGATATGTAGAATAACTTCAAGCAATCAAATATATGTATAATTGGAGTCCATGAGAAGGGGGGTACTTAAACAAATTTGAAGAAATAATGACAAAACATTTCCAAATTTATGAACACTAAATCTACAGATTCAGGAAGTTCAATGGGTCCCATAAATAGGAAACATAAAGAAAAGTTCATGAAGACATAACATAATCAAATGACTCACACCTAATTATGAAAAGAAATTCTTAAAAGTAACCAGAAGAAAATGATATATGTGTAGAGGAACAAAAATAAGGATGGCAGCAGACTTATTGTCAGAAACGACACAAACAAGCAGTCAGTGGAGCAACATCTTTAAAATAATGAGGAAGAAAAAACCTGTCAACCTAGTATTCTGAATTCATTGGAAATGTCTTTCAAAAAATGAAGGCTAAGTAAAGATCTTTTAAGATACACAAATGAAATAATTCATTGCAGTAGACTTACACTAAATGAATTGTTAGACAGTTAAACAGAAGGAAAATAATAGATGAAAATAAGGATCTGCCCCCAAAGAATACTGAATATAGTAACTGTATAAATAAATAGATGTTTTCTTATTATTATTTTAGTCTCTTTTAAAACATTGACCATTTAAGTGAAAATGAGTACAGTGTGTCTTACAACATACATAAAAGCATATATGTACCAATAATAGCACAAAGGATAGAAGGGAGAAATGGATGTATACTTTTGTAAGTTTCTTAATCTATACATGAGATGGCATAATACTATTTATAGGT